CCAAGTTTCCAAAACAAAAGCCCCCCCCCCTGAGGGGCCGGGGGGCCCGTTTTTTTTTTTCGTTTTTTTTTTTTTTCCCCCGGAAAAAAATCCCCGGGGGGGAAAGGGGGGGGGCCCTGGTTTTTTTTCCCCGGCCCCCCGGGAAGGGCCCAAAAACCCCCCCCCCCCCCCCTTTTGGGGGGAAAAAAAAAGGCGGGAAAAACCCCCCCCCCCCCCCCCCGGTCCCCTACGAAAGAGCGACCGCTGCCTTATATGATGGCGCAATGTAGCGAGCTCCTCAGCGACAAGAGGAGATGAGGGGAGAGGGAGCGCAACACATCGAGGCCGTAATTAAAAAATAACTCTAGCAAATTGGGCCGTTGCCCCGGCTGTAACCGGGGCTGGCGCACCAACTCTTTCCCAAGATCTCGCTAACGCATGCACAATCCTAACCCTATTCTACGCATAAATTATGACCAATTAAATCTAGCAGCCTGTCGTGCCACATGTCTCCACTCTGTGCCTATACTGTACTGGAGGACAATGAATCACGCCATCGACCTCCAAAAAGGGCGCTTGGTCAATCCACCACGAGACTAGTGAGGACACCCGAGGCACATCTCGCCTCTGGCGCATCCACGCCAACCCCCTCCCGTGGCAAATCGCTCCCTCCATGAGACGACCACTTCCTGAGGTTGCCCAGTTGCACCCTTCCCACTCAGGAGACTTTGCAAGCTCTGGTCCAACCCAAGCGGCGAAGCAGTGTGCCCCATGAGCGCATCACTCCAAACACTTCGGAGGGGAAGGGGGGGCTCGAAGTGGCGCAGTGCTCCATGCGGACTTTGGACTGGATAGCGCAGCAACAGGCAGTGCGCTTTGAGCTTCAAGGTAGAGCAGCTCCCACCTTGAGTCGAGGCACGGACACGGGTGTTGCTACACGGTGGTGCGTTCGCCATCTCGGCCGGGCGCGACTGGGTCGGTAACACTTGGAGCTCACGCGCCGATGGCCATGCCACCGTCCACGGTGAAGGTCTGTCCCGTGATGTATGCCGCGCTGTCCTCCGTGGCAATGAACCTTAACCATCGGGAACAGAAAACAGAGGGGCAGACACGCAACACGGCAAGCCACCAGGGTCAGCCAAGTGGGTGACATCCCGGCGGAAGGAGCGCAGTACCGGTCACACTTAAGCAGTGCTGGGCCCGAAAAAAAACTCACCGACACAACCTTCGCCTTCAAACCCTTGGGAAATCCCATGGACCGCACAGAAGCAAGCGAGCACGACCCTGGACATAATTGAGGCATTGCCTATTGCTAGATATGTGGCGAACGCTGGGCAGAGCCTCGAAGAGAAAAAATGGCAGGGATAAAAATTAGGAAGCATAAACCCCAGATTTCGTTTGATCAGACCCCGCCTCTGAAACCGCCGACAGCACCACATGAAAAAGGAAAAAAAATCGTATGAAGGGCCGCAACGCACGGATTGAACAAATCACGCTGGCAAAGGCTGGGCAGAGGGAGAGACAGACAGACCGACAGACAGAAACCACAAGACTCACTTGACCATCCCCGCAATCTCATCCGGCTTTCCTAGCCTGCCCAGGGGGATCATCTTCTTGATGGCGTCCTGGTCGAGGTCGGCTGTCATGTCGCTCTCGATGAACCCGGGGCACACGGCGTTGACGGTAACGCCTCGAGCGGCGAACTCCCTCGCCATGGACATTGTCATGCCGATCACGCCAGCCTTTTCAGCGTGTATGTGGTGTCGGGAGGGGGAGGGAACAGGTGAGCAGCAGCAAGCGAGGTTGATCGGCGCTTCGGCAGTGCCATTCGCTCCGCAATATCGTGGTGCCAGCGCGCCCGTCGCCACAACCCGGGCGGGGCCGAGGGAAACAATTTTTAACTTCGAGAGTGCCATGACGTAGATCTGCATGATCTGCTGTGATTGGTGGCATACCGAGCGTTTTTTTTCGTCTTCTCTCGCTCTAGCTCTCTGTAGTGGCCTCTCTCCCATTTGGTTTGCCATGTCTTTAACTTGATTCGTTTTGCGATCTCTCCGTTTTTCTCTCCCTCCCCGTTGTTTTTGTCTCCCCCACCCCTCCCGTCTCTCTGGCACCTTCGCGGCGGCGTAGTTAGCCTGTCCGGGGTTGCCGATGAGCCCCACAATGGACGAAATGTTGATGATGCGGCCCTTGCGCTGCTTGAGCATGAGCTTGCACGCCGCCTGGGAGACGTAGAACACGCCGCTCAGGTTCAGGTCGATCACCTGTCCAAACATCGAGAAAAGACAGGAGGCGAGAGAGAGAGAGAGAGAGAGACAGCGATTGAGCAGAGAAAAACACAAGCATGGGTCAACCAAGGTAACGCGCAGTGCCCGTGTAGCACGAGGAGAGGTGTACAGGGAGTAGTTGGGAGTCGCAAAAGTAGCGGGGCATAGAGCTGTTAGAAAGTCTTTCTATCCAAAGCAACACACACAGCTGCAGGAAGGCAATGATCAATAGAACTCCCACCACAATGGACCGTGAGGGATTTGTCACTCCCCTGCCCAAAATAGGTGGGACAACAATTTCACACACAAGCCGGACATAAAACAAATACGAACGGTCTTCGCAGGTGCCGCGTGCCGCAAAATCAAATGCTCAAGAATATGTTCGGCGCTGGTGCCGCTTGCCGGACACGAACAACGCATGCTACGCAACGTCTACTGTCTTAAGTACTACGAGCACTATGTAGGACACAACTATTGTCCTACTACTACTATACCACCGACGAACATTCCGCTGACTAACGCAATGCCCGCTCACCGACTGCCACTGGTCGGGCTTCATTCGCATGGTGAGGGTGTCCCTCGTGATGCCGGCGTTGTTCACCACCACCTGCGAGTTGTCCAAGGTTCGAGGGGGGGGGGGGGAAGTGACCACCCAGTTTCAAGAGTCCAGCCAAGCCACAGTCATGTTTCAACGAGGCCCCACCGACCCACGATCGTACCATTTCCCATGGCGGTCGATTTCGAACCACGACGAGTTCAGTGCTCTTGTCCGTCATGCCGGGGGCTCCAACCATTGTCTCAATCTACCCACGTCCAACCTATATACCGTTTCAGCAAACGGTGAAAGAGTGTTACTTTCTCGGAACCCACCAGGAAACTTAACAAGAAAGTGTTCCTCTCTCGGAAGTTACTTGTGGAACAGCAGGGGCACTGCCTATGACTAACCACCGGAGTCAGCACCAGAGCACGTTCCCGGTGTGATACTTTCCTCCCTCTCCCAAGACTCAACAAAGTCACGTGTCCCGTCACCCGATATGAGACGTCACCGGAGCGTGACCAGTGTTGGGGGCGCACAGGCGGGCAATGTCTGCACGATGGGAGCGTTCTGTCTATTGGCTCATCCGTGGGTGGGTGTGGACAAAACAAACAGTGTGTCCGGCCGGTTCGAGTCACCACAGACACAAATAGACAGACACACACGCGGCTCTCTCTCTCGCTTGCTCTTGCTCCCACCTCGATCTTCTCGTCGGGGAAAGCCGCCGCCGCGTCCGCGAAGAGCGTCTTCACCTCGTCCGTCTTGGACACGTCCGCCTTCACGGCGGCGGCCTTGCCCCCGGCCTCCTGGATCGATTTCACCACCTGCGTGTCGAGTGGGATATCGCCAAGAAATCGGCGCGGGAGAGGCGGGGGAGGGGGGCGAGGGTTGGACAGTACGGGCACAAAGGTCAGCGGGAGGGGTTCACAGCAATAGTCTCAGACGCACACACAGAGAGCGGTTGGCAGCCAACTAAGGGTGGTCTGATTGCCCCGACGGCGGACGAAACGAAATTTCAGGTAGGCGGCGAAAGAGGGGCGACAGAGGCCAGGACGACAGTATCCGATGAAACCGCCGGAAAAAAATGATTCGCGCACCTCGCATGAATCTCCTTTCTCCTATATTCAGGGCGCTCGATAGGACAAAATGAACCCGCATTTGCCAACCTTGATTGTACGTAGCTCGGACCAAAAACATGATGCGGGGGCACGATGTGAACATTATGTATATACGTGTGTGGTATGACGCTTGTGGGCGTTCCGATTGCAGAGCCCACGCCCCGCCCCCCCCGGTGTTTGCCATCGGGGTTTGGGTTTTCGTCGCTTGGCAACGACGTTGTAAAACAAGCCCCCCACTCGGTGTTTGCCATCGGGATTGGGTTTTCGTCGCTTGGCAACGACGTTGTAAAACAAGCCAATTCACTTCGTGAACTCGACAACCAGGTTACCGTTTTTTTTTTTTACCTCGTTTTTTTTTTTGGCGGTAACCATAATGGTGGTCGAGTAGATCATGTTGTGCGGGGTCGAGAACCATCACTCCGCGCAACGGGGGATGATCGTACCACGTTGTGTTAAAATGGTCAAGCTTCCTCGCGGCAGTTACACAGTGCTTACAACTGTCTCTGGAAGTGAAAGCACCAGAAAATAAATTAAGTCATACGTAGCTGTCATCCGTACGCAAGGAAGTAAGCACAAGATGCCGAACACCCTTAGCAGGATGCAGCTCACCCTTCATGCGACTCGCCAAATACCTCACGGCGCTTCGCGCTTGGTGATGTGAGAGCCTGGTCCGGTGAGAACCCGGCGTGCTCCGTCCCGGCTTTGTAGGGATGCGAGGTCAATGGTCTAACGACTACGGCATGCACGACTATGAGTACCCCCCCCCCCCCCCCCCCCCCCCCCGGGGGGGGGGGGGGCGGGTTC